TGGTAAGGGACAAGAAGGAAGTTTCAAGTGGCACCAGATGGACTCCAAAGAGGAAGGCCAGAAAAGTAAATAGAGATCTGGTGGGGCACCATGACGGGAGAGGTGCCAGCAGTGGTGAGAGTTTTGTGTCTGGGGAAATTGGTTGGAAGGCACCAAGAGTGAGGCATGCCAAGGCAGAAGTGGTTCTGATAGGCAAGGAAGAAATTTTCTGATAAAGAAAAGTCAACTTATAGCCCAACTGATTATGCAGAGCCAGCCAGGACTGATAACTATGGCCACACATAGTAGAATACAATAGTAGTGGCTATATGTGGAGCCACCCTGCCACTTTAAATCAGGTCACAGAACAAGACTTGATTTCTTTGAGATTGAGGGGTCAAATTATACCCCAAATTTGTGATTGCTTCTAGAGCATCAGAGACTACTGCAAAAGAGATTACAGAATAGATTGACGTGAAGATCTTTCAGAGACAAAGATATTCACTACCTCTAAATCCCTCTAATGTGTCTTCAGTGTCTCTGCCTGGGGAGAACATGACAGTTACCGCTGGTCAGAGAACTGAGTTGCTGTTCTACTGGGAGAGACACCATCTTCCATAAATTCACTTGGATGGGCCTCAAGCTCCTTCGCTGTTCCAGGCTCTGATGTTCAGTAACTCGCAGCAGAGTGCCCTATCTCAGCTTGCTCCAGAGAACACGTTTTTTTCGTCACACTATGGTGAGCATCTTAGATAAAGTATTTGGTGATACTGACAAAGCTAATTTGGGGCAATTTTACTTGTTGGCCTAGAGGCAAGAAGTTGTACTGCAATCCTGAAGGCACAAGGACTCCAACATTTTCAGAGTTAGTGCAATTTTTATAGAAGTTCTTAAGGAATAACTGACCCCTTTTCCCTTTCAGGAGAGGGAGTAGAAGCAGTGATTATCTCCAACATGCCCTCTTACCCAGCCCTGCTTTGCTGTTTTTATTATATATTGTTCATGTATGACTCAAAGCAACCCTATGAGCCCTGTGAGCAGATCTGAACCTTGTCCTATCCTGCGGCATTCTCTTTATCTCCAATACACTGGAGCTTCACTCATCATAACAATCCATCTCGTTGAGTTTTCCTCTTTCGCTGAGTCTCCACCTTTCCAAACATGATGCCCATGAAACATGAATAGCCTCTTCTGAGAACATGCACCAAGTACAGTGAGACGAAGCTTTACCATCCTTGCCTCCAAGGAGCACAGACTGGCTGCATTTTCTCCAAGGCACATCTGTTTGTTCCTTTGTCAGTCATTCACCATTGTTCTCTGACAACAAAACTCAAAGGCATCCCTATTTTTCTGTTATCCTTATTCATTGCCCAGCTCTCAGATACACAGCAGGCAATTGAAAAGACCAAGGCTTGAATCAGGCACACCCTGCTCTTCAAGTTGACATCATGGTTTTGGAGACTTTGGAGAGGTCTCAGACAGCAGCCTTTCCCAGTGCTATACATCTCCTGATCTCTGGACTGCTGGTACAAAGAGCACTGATAGAGGAATCCAAGAAAGATAAAATCTTTCCAATCTTTCTCCATCTATCATGATGTTGCTTTAGGTTTCCCCAATAATACTTTGAGATCTTTCTTACTGTGAATATCAAGAGTGGCCATGTTTGTGGTGTTTTACTCATTAAAGCTATAACCAGACAATTATCATCTGGATAAAATCCTGTCTATAATCAGGGAAAGTCCACAGGTACTTGAATTACCTACACAAAGGCACTCCTCTGTGGTGGTTCAAATTCCTCAGTGGTTCAATAACTCCCAGGGAGAATAAATGGGCAATTCTCCTCTTGTGTGGTTTTCCCTGCTTGCTGAAACTGAGGAGGACTTGAAGCTCTTACTGCAGAGGGTTAAGGACTGCAGCCTTCAATATGAATTGAGGCTCAATATCAAGAACACAAAGATTCCCACCACTGGACCAATTGGCAGCATCAAGATGGACGGTGAAGAGATTGAGATTATTCACAGCTTTAGTTTGCTTGGCTCCAGAGTCAACACTCTTGGCACCAGCAGCCAGGAAATTAAAAAATGTATTGCGATGGGAAAGTCTGCTATACTGAAGAGCAAAGGTGTCACTCTGGAGACTAAGGTGTGTCTGATACAGGGCATGGTCTTTGCAATCACTTGTTATGCATCAAAGAGTTGGAAAATGACTAGGGAGGATAGAAGGAGAATTGATGCTTTTGAGCTGGGTGCTGGAGAAGAGTATTGAATGTACCATGGACTGCCAGGAAAACAATCAGATTCATCCTGGAAAGGGTCAAATCTGGCAGCTCATTGGAGGCAAGGATTCTGGGGCTTCGTCTGGCATACTTTGGACATACTGTAAGGACCGACCAGTCCTTGGAGAGGGACATCATGCTTGGTAGGGTGGAGGGCCAGCGCAGGAGGGGGAAGACCCTCTATTAGGTGCATTGATTCAGTGTCTGGGGTAATTGGGATGGGTTCGTTGGAGGCAGTGCGATTGGCACAGGATAGAGCAGGGATTAGGGCTGTTGTACATAGGGTCGCTGTGAGTTGCAAGCAACTTGACGGCACATAACAACAACAACAACAACAACAACAAAGCCAATGAAAGATCAGCTTTGAGTAATGACAGCACATCTTCTGAGATGCTGAGTTTAAAGCACCAACCTTGAGGTTGGCAAACTGTCAGCACATTGAAAGTGTATTTAACATTAGTTCATCTGATGACCTGTCCCTAGATCATTTTCAGCTTTCTTCAACTCAGATTACATTCTGTCAAAAATAAAAATGTTTCAGGATAATATTTAACTAGAGGCTTTCTTTTCTCCAAGGTACAGAATACAGTTCCAGAAAAGCTGGTGGAGGAACCGTAGGTGTCACTTTCTTGTGAATGGGAATCTGGTCAATGATATGCAGCAATAACAGCTTTGATGGCAAGCGGGACTGAGGACTCACTTCTGGAAAGGTGCTAAAGCTTTGGAGCCTCTTGGATGTGTTCAAAATAGTGGCTGTGGTTTAAAGAAAACACTTTTCTCAAACTTGCAACCACAAACCCTCCCCAAATTTGGAAGCACAAATCAAACTTGGTATGAAGCCCCGTATTAATGTCCATGTTCAACCTAGGCAATGGTTATGTGCTAGGGGAAAAGGCAGGCAGTGTGAACCTACTTGGGCTCCCCAGGGTGAAACTCCATCTCACACACTCTGGGCAAGTTGTGGGGAGGGGCCAGCACTTTAGAAAAAAACCATCATAAAAAAACATCAGAGAAAGAGGAGACCCTCAAAAAGATAGGCTGACAGAGACTTCAGGAACGTGGCAGAGATTGTGAGGATGGGGCAAGATAGAGCAAAGTTTAGATTTTTTAAAGGGTTGCTATGAGTTCTACTCAACGTTACATTACCTAACAAGAGGTTCCATGTGAGAAAACCTGGCTATGATATAGGACAAGGCTGTTCAATTGGTCATATGGGGTCACTATGAGTCAAAATCAACTTCTGTAGTACAACAACCAAAGATTACAGGTTAACTGGGGAAATTGCTGGATTTGGCTTCTTCCTATGTGGAAAGAAAACATTTGCATACAAAAACTTTTCCCAGATCACAGAGTCATCAAATGTACCAAACCAGGCACATTTCTGTGATGCAATCTAGCTAGCAGGGGACAGAACACTTGCAAGACACACTTGACCCTGCCCTATCCAATCAGAAAGCTGGTGTAAATTTGAAAGTGACCTGAAACAAGGGCAGAATCAAGCAATTCACTCTGTTGGGTTCTACAGTGTCAGATTGGTTTCAATAATGCTAGGCAACCAAGGGAGGGAAGGAGGAATTCACTTAAGGTTTAAAAGCTCAAAAATGCTAAACTGGGCACTGTATCTTTGGACCTGAATGATTCACAGATTATATAAAACAATTTTTAAGATCCAAGTTTCCTGCAAAAGATACTTTAGAAAAGCACAATATATAACCAGTAATATTTCTCATGAAAGAACAGATGTATTAAACGTCATAAAAATGAAATATGTGAAATCTCATGGATATTTGGGGCACTTCTGTGTTTTGTAGAAATTCAAGATATATAATTTGGGGAAAAAGTTATCTTGGTCCCTTTTTGGTTCATAGTAAATAGGTTGGTGTCTACGAAGTTATTTTTATGTAGTGTTCACATCTAATCCATTCTCATTAGTGTATGTCAAGGGAGCCCAATAAGCCTGATACTTAATCTCCTGCTCTTTATTATGTTGATAGTTTGTTGAAATATCGACAGCATCTAGTCAGGGGCTCTGGTGGTTTGGTGGTAAGAAAATGAACTGCCAATGCAAAGGTGGTTGTGGTTAGGTGCCATCGAGTTGAGCACAACTCATAATAATCCTATAACAAAAGATCTGAACCCAGTCCTGTCCTGTACCACCCTCACACTTCCTGAAACTCAAGAGCCCATTGCAGCAGTCACCGTGTCAATCCGCCTGATTGAGGGTCTTCCTCTCCTTCACTGACCCTCCACTCTTCCCAAAATCATGTCCTTCTCCAAGAACTTCCTAACAGTCTGCTCAAAGTATGTGAGGTGAAGCCGCCTCATTCTTGCCTCCAAAGAGCACTCCGCCTGCACCCTTTCCAAGACACATGTGTTCATTCACTTGGCCATCCATGGGATGCTCGGTGCTCTTCTACAACACCACAACTCAAAGGCATCAATTCTTTCTCTCTTATCCTTATTCATTGTCCAGGTCTTGGCCGCAAAGGTACATGGTTCAAATCCACCAGCTGTTCCATCAGAGAAAAATAGGCATTTTCCCATGTGACTTATTGCTTCTGAAAACTTGCTTAAGGATCGGCTATGGGTAAGTCTGACTCCATGGTACACAACAATAAAACAAGTCACATCAATGTATTTTGCAGATTTTACTTTCACAAACATTTACACAATAAGTGGGGGAAACATTAAGATTCAAAGTGAGGGTTAACATTAAAAGACTTCTAGGGAGCACTCATATCCCATACTATTTTCGTGAACGTTTATATTCCAAGAGCAGGACAATCAGTCTATTACGCAGGCTCCTAATCTTGTTGGAATAATGTTGTTCTAATATTTTCTTCAGCTTTTGCCTTAAACAATCCAAAGATGGAAGATGCTGACAATCTGGTATATTTAACATACTATGAAAAAATTCATTCCACATTTCTGAATGAGGAAGCCTGAGGAGACAAAGTACAAAGAATGGGTGAAATGCAGCCTTTGACATTTGTGACACTGCCCCCACCAACCTGTATTTACTTCCACATGCTTGGACAATTAAATAATATAACAATTCTCAACCCAAAGCAACTTAAACACAAATCACAAATGAGAACACTGTACTGATTAACATGAGACTTAGAGAGTCAATTCACTATCTATACACACTCTGTCTCCCCTGCCACAAACTATTAAGGCATCTTAACTGAAAGCTACACCCAGATGTCACCCTTCAGTCAAACAACAGAATGGCTCATAAAATGAACACTTCTTGTTAGGTCTAGTATGACTCCTAGTGATCTTGTGAACAATAGATCTTGCCCATCCTGCATCACCTTCATGCTGTCTGATATGCTTGAGTTCATTATTACAGTCACTGTCAATCCACCTCACCAAGGGCCATCCTTTCTTTTGATCCTCTACCTTTTCTAGCATGATTTCCCCCCCCCCCCCAATGACTAGCCCCTCTGACCACACTCATAAAGTAGATGAGACAAAGTTTCGTCGTCTTTGCCTCTAAGGAGCATCCTGATAGATCTTCGTTGGAAGAAGTGCAATTTGTTCTTCTGACAATCCATAAGAGATTCAATACTCTTCACTAACACCATAGTTCAATGGCACAAATTCTTCCTTGGTTGTCCTTAGTCATTGTCCAACTTTAGATGTATAGAAAGCAACTGAAAATACAAGGGCTTGGTTCAGAGGCCACCAGTCTTTAAACTTACATACATCCTTATTTTGTAGTTCAAAGAAGTCTCTGACAGCATATTTTCCCAATGCAACTCACCTTTTAATTTCTTGGCCACTGCAATCACAGGTGTTGATTGTGGATCCAAGTTAATCTAAAACTAAACTGTCAATAAATTCCGTCTTTTCTCCATTGATCTTGATGTTTCCTGTTGGTCCAATGGTGAAGATTTTTGTTTTCTTCATGATGAGATGTAATCCATACTGAAGGCTTCGATCTTCTTCAGTACTTCTTCACTTTCAGCAAGCAAGGCTGGGTCATCTGCAAAACACTCATTGTTGAGTCCCTGTCCAATGCTGATGGCACATTTGTCTTCATAGTGTCCAATTTCTCAAATTATTTGTTCGGTATATAGATTGAGTAAGTATGGGAAAAGGATACAACCATGATCCACACCCTTCTAGACTTTAAGCCATCTAGTTTTCTCTCGTTTGGACAAATGCTTCTTGTTCTATAGATAAGGTGTTCTTGAGCATAATCAAGTGTCCAGGATTCCTATTCTCAATGTTATACCATAATTTGTCATGCTCCACATGAATGCCTGAGTATAGTCAATAAAACACAAGTAAACATCTTTCTTGTAATCTATTTCTTTAGTCAAGATCCATCTGAAATGCCACAGCCTCTTCTGATTCCAGTTTTAATTTCTCTAAGTTCCCTATGAAGGTCTTGTTCCAGCCTTTTAAGATAATCTTCAGTAAGATTTTACTTGTATGTTATTAATGATCCTTATGTGTTAATTTCCATTGCAGTTGATTCTTTTTTGTTTAAATGGGAAACAAAGGTCTCTTGCAGTCTGCAGACTAGTCTAGCAGACTAATGAGCATGTCCACGGTTGCATTTATTTGTTGAGATATGTTAACTGTTATTTTATCAATTCCTGGAACCTTATTTTTTGCCAGTATTTTTAGTGCAGTTTGAACTTCTTCTACCATTGGTTCTTAATCAAATTTGCCTTCATGAAATGTTTCAGTATCAATCACTTCTTTTTGGCAAAGTGACTCTTTGTATTCATTTTTTTAAAAAAAAATTATTTCATACTGGTTTACATACAAAGTTCATATGTTATTTTCCACACTGGACCTTTCCTCTTTACCAATTTTTTTTCAATGCTTCTTGATCATTTAATATTTGGATTACACAGAATTCCTCAGAATTGCAACTTTAGCCTTGAGTTTTAGAGGTCTTCAGTTCTTTCAACCTGAGAAATGCCAAGTATCTTCGTCCCTTTTGGTTTTCAAACTCCAGCTCCTTATAATACTTTTGTCTTCTCGAGCTGTCCTTTGAGCTGTCTTCTTTCATCTCTCTTATCACAACACCTCTTCCCTTTTTTTTGGTGTATATGTACCATTGAATTGGATCCCAATGGAACAGGAGGAAATTGGCCCTCCTTCTCCAGCAGAGCATCGCACCTTCAGGATTTCAGTGCAGCTTCTTTCCACTAGGCCACCAGAGTTCTCTTTTCTTTCCTCTATTTTGGCTTCTTTATGGTCTAGAAAAAATTTCAGGGTCTCTTCTGATAACTATTTTGGATGTATAACATTGGTAATGACCTTTTGCTTTCTTCATGGATAATATCCTTGATGCCATCCCAAAATAAAGAGTCATAAATTTTGTGCTCCTGAGATAAAATAGTCACTATTTACTCTAAAGCAAAGAAGAAGAGGGGAAGGTGAGTAGTGCAGTTAGGAACTGGAAACAAAACAATCAGAATGAAATATTGACACTATATTATGAAAGATGCACACAGTGCCACAAACACCATGTACACAAATTGATAAATGGGAACCTAATTTGCTGTGAAATTGTCAAAAAAGAAAAGAAAAAAGGCAATCTTTTAGTAATAAATAGTTCATCAGTATAAAGCTTTTTATTTTATTTTTTTAGAAACCAGAACTGCCATCCAAGCAGATATATGTTCACCCATGTTTACTGCAGCTTTGTTCATAATAGTGAAGAGTTGGAAACAACCTAAGAGCCCATCAACAAACGAATGGATAGAGAAGTTCTGGTATATTCACACAATGGAATACTATGCTACAGTAAAAAACAAAGAACTCATAAAATATTGTTTGAGATGGATGACCATGGAGGACATTATGCTGAGTGAAATATCTGAGTCACAAAGGGACAGATACTGCATAGTGTCACTGTTGTAAAATAGGACTAACATCAGGGTTGAGGGGAGACTAAGAAAGGGGACAAATAATATATACTGCATTGAAACAGATGAGGGAGAGAATTGTTTAAAAGTGATATATGATTAGGTATTATTATCATGACAGCAGTCCAGAATGAAGGCTGCATAGTGGAGTGCACTTGGAGGTAAGGATTGTATATCAATGAAAGAATTTTCCTTTTACTTTTCAAAGAGAAGAGTGAATTGAGAGGGAGGGTGGGCAGGGAGAAAAATGCAATAATGAATGAATGGAAATCCAAAGTCTCTGTAAATGTTCTTTAAAATTAATTAAAAAAAATAAAATATATTTACTTTTGGATACCTAAGAACAAGTTGTACATACTGGTTGTTGTTGTTAGGTGCTGTTGAGTATGACCCATAGTAACTCTATAAACAACAGATCTGAATCCTGTGCCATCCTCATAATCTTTGAGACACTTGAGCCCATTGCTGCAGTTACTATGTCAATCCACTTGATGGAGGGTTTTCCTCTCCGTCGACCTTCCGCCTTCCCAAGCATGATGTCCTTCTCAAAGAATAACCTCTCCTAACAACATGCCCAATGTATGTGAGATCTTTGCCTTTAAGGAGCACTATGGCTAGCTACACTTTCTCTAAAACATAGCTTTGTTCGCTTGGCAGTATTTTCAATACTCTTCTCCAACACTACAGTTAAAATCTTCTATCACCCTTATTTATTGTCCAGCTGTCTGATGCATAGCAAATGACTGAAAAGATTGTGGCCTAAATCAGCCACATCTTAGTCCACAAACTGACATCATTGCTTCTCAATAATTTGGGGAGGTCCCTGACTACAGACTTTCCCAGTAATCTACTGATTTCTTAACTACTGGTACCAAATGTACTGATTGTGGATCCAAGTAAGATGAAGTTGTTGACTGTTTCAATTTTGCTTTATTGATGTTATGTTGAGATGGAATCCATATTGAAGGCTGCAGTGTTTAATCTTCTGCAGTAAGTGCTTCAAGACCTCCTCACTTCCAGCAAGCAAGGTTGTGTCATCCGCATAATGAAGGTTTTTGATTAGTCTTTCTCCAATTCTGATACCACATTCTTCTTCATAGAGTCCAACTTCTTGAATAATTTGTTCAACATAAAGGTTAAATAGATGTGGAGAAAGGATACAACCCTGATGCACACCTTTTCTGATTTTAAACCATGCAGTGTTCCCTTGCTCTTTTCTCATAATAGCTTTTCAGTCTAGGTATTAGTTTCATAAGAACATATATAATTATTCTGGGATTCTCATTCTTCTCAATGCCAGCAATAATTAGAAGCAGATAATCAGGCCTATGTGTCTGGGGCTAACTGTCCAAGTGCTAGAAGAGAGCTCAGGCCTAAGTTGTGTGCCAACTACTGCCTTCATTCACATTAACTGCAGACATGCAGGAACAGGGACAGAAGGCACTGGGGACGAAACTCAGCATAAGCCAGGTGGAGCTCCAGACAGGAAATCCACTGTGCTCATGAGTCTGCAGGGGCTGCTGAGGCTTTGTGTGGTGTGGCCATGCTGGAAGCCTTGCTAGATAACAACCTATCTGCTCCTTCCATTAGAACAATGAGACAGAATAGCACTTGCTGAAATTGATGACTCACTTGGCAAAATACAACATAATTACTATAAAGTTTTCCTCCTCTCCAAGCCTTGATGTACAGCCTATTTCATAAAATGATTTTTATGATTTCATAAAATCATTGCCAATAACTTTAATTTTTATTTTAGGGGGCAAGGTGAAGTACAGAGAGGAGTATTAGTTTATATTGTATAAACATCTATGAAAACCCAAGAGGCTGTACACTTAAACTATGTATATGTACTTTTTGGTTCATTTTCATACCAGGACATAATATCCACCAAATACCAAACTCTCAGCTTAACCAGATCTGACAAACACAGCTTGCTCACAGTAGGAGAGTCACACTACAATTTTATTGATGAAGAAACAGTCTGAGACACTACAACAGCCAGCACTGAGGCAACAAAGCCCTATCCTGTGGGAGCCAGCTACCTGCCTCATCCTATTTCCAAAGAATTTACATTTGTTTTGGTATGAAACAAGCACAAAGCCTGAAGCCCCATGGTTGTTAGCGGACTTCTCTAAAGCATAAGTAAAGGGAAACATCATGTACAGAATGCACTGCCAGCATGGGTCCAGATGCTCCACAGATCCTACAAGGTCACTGTCCAGCTTCAGACCTGGGCAGACCAAGGCGAGGCTCTGTCCCTTGCTATGCCACGCCCTCTCTTGCTCCAGCATCCATGCTCCATGAGGCAGAACCCAACTTCCTCTTATATTTCCTCTGCTTTCACAGTAGCATCAGTGATGACACCTACCTTCTGAAAGGACCTTCGGGCTTCCAGACTCCTCCTTCCTTTTTCAGTTTCATGTATGTGCCAAAGAGCATGCAGTACACTGTTGCAGCCACTCCAAAATAATCAAGCTGGAAAGAAAATATGATACCCATATTTTGTGACTCAAGCTGTGACTACACATAAATGTATGGAGAGTCCTTCTAATGAGAAGATTAGATCTCATGAACACTGGAAATCTTATTCACTGCTGGTGGGAATGGAAAATGGTACAACCACTATAGAAGATGGTGTGCTGCTTTCTCAAAAAATTGGAAACAGAAATACCATCTGACCCAATTATCCTACTACTAGGGAGCTCTGGTGGCCAGGTGGTAAGAAGCTGAGCTGTAATCCCAAAGACACATGGTTTGAATCCACCAGATGCTCCATGGGAGAAAAAGGGGCAATCTCCTCCCATGCAATTAACTGCCTCTGAAAACTATTGGAGGGTCAGTTATGGATCAGTTCTGACTTGATGCCACTCAACATTCCACTACTAGATGCACACATATTTATGTTTATTGCAACATTATTCATAATAGCAGTGATAATAGATGGAAGGAGTTCAAGTGTTCTTCAACAAAAGAATAGACAGAAAGACTGTGGTATATTCACATAATGGAGTATTATGCAACACTGAAAAAAAAAAACCAGTGGGTGAGTTTGGGAGACATTATGCTGAGTGAAATACATCAGTCACAGAGGGACAGATACTGCATAGAACCACTGTTCTAAAAAAGGGATGGACACAAAGGAGGGGAGAGCAGGGAAAGAATGGATAGTGACCATTATAGTGGAATGGGAGAAGTGAGGGACTATCTGAAAGGAATGAAAGATTAGACATTGTATGGCAACTGACAATCTGGAACAAGATGTGCATTACAAAGTGAATGGAGGAGAGAGGGAAAGGTGTATCATCAATGAATGAATGAAAACCCATACTTGCTGTACACTTTCACTAAAATCACGATTTAAAAAAAAAGGTAAAAAAACACCAAAGTGCCCTTCTCCTTTAAGACTCCAGCTAAATAATCCAGGATCTCATGCTTACAGAATTTTGGAGGCCATTTTTGTTCAGCCACTCTCTGACATGCTCTGCCAAATGTCTCTCTAGAGTGTAACAAAAGGCTCCCAGTGAGAGCAGAGCCCAAGCCCCAGGAAGGCACCTTGAGGGGGTTCTGGTCTTTCTGGGCTACTGAGTCTGTCATGCCTACCACTCTGGCCCCTTTCACACTGCCAGCTTGGATGTCAGCCCAGTGCTAGCCCTGACTCTAAGCAGTGTGGTGGACCGCCAGGCTCCTCACCATGTGTGCTATGTCCATGTGAGGACACTCCAGCATGGAGAGAAGACACCATCTACTATGTTCCTAAGAGATGCCAGCCCCTCACGCAGACATCATAAGGCCTTATGCTGGAAATCACCTCAGCATTGCTCACCTAAAGCCCGATCCCCTTCCCCTGCAGCTCCACATCTGGAACGTGTACACAAGGTTAAAAACTTGCCATTTATTCCAGTTAGTAGTCTTTAAAATGATCATCTAAAATTTTTAATTTGCTGAACAATCTACTATTTATTATTTTTGAAAACTTGGGTTTGGTGTGCTCTCTTTAATGAACACCCATAGACTCTATATACTCAGTGAAAACACAGAACTATGAAATATGCTGGGAGCAGGGGCAGAACCCTACAATATGGCACCAGAAACTCTCTCCAAGCATAATGGCCATCCATCGCTGACATCTATGGATATTAGCACTGATCACAGCCAGAGGCAGCCCCTCACCTAGGAGAGCAGCCCAGGAGTGCCACGCTGCGCTCAGGTTCACCCAGATGAGGAGAGAGGTGCAGGAGCTCCTGGTCACCCGCTACAAAGAAAACAGGCTAGAGTGACCTAGGACTCAGCTAGGAAAGCAGCCCAGGAGAGCCTGGCACTGTGCTCAGGTTCACCCAGATAAGGAGAGAGGTGCAGGAGCTCCTGGTCACCTGCTACAAATAAACCTGGCTAGACTGACCTAGGACTCAGCCTCATGAAGCCAACATGTTCCATGGGGAATGCAAGGCTGCATCCATAGACTGTCATGCAAAGGAAAGCTCACAAAACTGACTCGTTTTCCTTTGCAGATAACAGAATGTGTGATTAATAAGACATGGATGAGCTTCAGGAATATCATTCACTTTATATCCCGTCAGTTATGAGGCCCATCTCTACTGTCTCCTCAAGGGACCAGCAAAAAAAACAACAACAAAAAACCCCCTCCAAATTAACTTTTTAAAATCTGAGAAACAAAGTAAAAGAGGGGGGAACAAATCTATACTCATTTCAGTTCTATACCTGATAGTTCCAATGTTTGTTGCTGAGCATCTCTGGACACTGAAAACCAGATGTTTCACAGTTTGCTGTAAATGCAGTTCCTTTTGGAAAAAGTTTCATGTCTATACTCTGTCCCAGGTCAATCAAGGCCAAGCCTGTGGCTAAATCATCCTCTTCATCATCCTGGTCTAAAAACCTAGATTAAACACAACCAAGTATCAGACTACATCAGAACAAGTAAGACAACAGCAAATTCCTCAGGACATGCCCCACTGCATGTGCAACACACTCGCCTGCTTCCAAGTATGAAATTATCTGGCTTAATATCCCCATGAATGATTTCACAATCATGGAGCTGTTCAATCATGTAGAGCATTCGGACAGCAAAAGCAAGGACCAGCGCTTGAGGCATCACTTTCTCTGGAGTGTTTTTGTAGAGGTTAATGGCATTCTACAAACAATGAGAAATGGAATCCTTAGTAGGATGCATGAGATTGATGCTTTCTTCCTGTGTTTTCAACAAAAGCTCCAAGTATAGAAGGTACAAAACTATCCTGCAAATTGATATTCACATCTGAAAAAATGGGTATACTTACTAATAACGTTCCATAACTGTAGAGATCTCCTACTAAAACGCTGCCATTCTGAAAAAAGTGTGCAGAATAGAACCTGATAAACATGTCACGCACACTTGGTTTCAGTCTCTCCATCAGCTGGGTTCCAATGTAGAATTCCCAGAGGTTCGCAGGCTTCTGCACCTGAAAGCCAGGTATGTGACATCCATATTAGTTTGTCATTCTGAAAAATGATATCAAGAAAGTAACTCCCATCCCAAAAATGGAGAGAGGCAGAGTGTGATGACAAGCTGTGAACAACTGGTGCAGTTAAGGGGTGAAATAATTTTGCTGGCAAGACAAATTGTCTTGTAATAATGCATTATAGGTCTCATTGCTAACCAAAATGTTTGAATCCACCAACTGCTTCAGGGCAGTTTCTTCCTGTAAATATTTAGCCTCAGAAACTCAAAGGGTGTTGCTGTAAGTTGGAGGCCAGGGGCAGGAGGTGTGGTTTCTAACAGACATAGATGAAAACAACAGTGTCTTTAGGGGAGGGGGCAGGGAAACGAGCAACTTCTGGAGTTCATTCTATACTATATACAAAAGTTCTCACTTATTTACCTTTAAAACAAATTTCTGTTTATGTTTGGTGTCATTCACATCTTCCTGGATCATTTCATAGACTTGGGCGAAGGCTCCTTCTCCAAGAAGATGGTCAACGTAGATTATGAATGAACCTTGGAAGACAGGTTGACATAACAAAAGAGCTCAAGAGAGTAAAGGTGTTCTCCAAGCAATGTTCGCTACCCAACTTGACTAACTGTGGACGAAAGCCAGGGGCGCTCTGGTGACATAGCACATAGGGATGTGCTAACCCAAAGGTGGTGCCTTTCCGGTCGTTCGAATCCCCCTGTGGCTCTGAGGCAGAAATATAAGCCATCTCCTCCTCTGCAATTTATAGTCTTTGAAAACCTGTTGGAGTTCTGACTTGATGGTGATGAGTTAAGAGTTTGACATGAAAGTAAAATACCTCCCACAAAATAGTTACTTCCCAGTCCCCACTGTTGAATGATCTGTGATGAAAAAGCACAACACAGCTGAGCCAGGGCTACCAGAGTGTCATGATTCCAGCAGTTATCCGTCAGCAATCAATGTTCTCTTAAGTTAGAGCAGATAATACTCATGCAACCTGCTCTGCAGGCCTACTGGATGTTAAACAGTGAAACAAACACAAAACCCTTTGTAAAGACCTAAACAGAAAATGCAACCATTTCCATAACTTCAAAGTAAGATGGGTTAGGTATATAGCTGTAACAATATTTCTACTAGATCCCAGAACACTTGATCGTGCTAATGTGAAACCTATACTTGGACCAAGAGGCAGTCGTCAGAACAGAGCAAGGAAACGCTGTATGGTTCAAAATTGGGAAGGGCGTACGCCAAGGATGTGTCCTGTCTCCATACCTTTTCAATCTGTATGCAGAACAGATTATCCGGGAGGCTGGGCTCTATGAGGAGAAATGTGGCGTCAGGATTGGAGGGAAGATCTATCAACAATCTGTGTTATGCAGATGACACAACCCTGCTTGCTGAAACTGAGGACGACCTGAAGCGCTTGCTGCAGAGGGTCAAGGACTGCAGCCTTCAATATGGATTGAGGGTCAATATCAAGAAGACAAAGATTCTCACCACTGGACCAACTGGCAGCATCAGGATGGATGGTAAAGAGATGGAGATTATTCATAGTTTTAGTTTGCTTGGCTCCACAGTCAACACTCTTGGCACCAGCAGCCAGGAAATTAAAAGACATATTGCAATGGGAAAGTCTGCTGTTAGGGACCTCTCCAAAGTACTGAAGAGCAATGATGTCTCTCTGGAGACTAAGATGCGTCTGATACAGGCCTTGGTCTTTGCAATCACTTGTTATGTGTCAGAGAGTTGGACAATGACGAGGGAGGATAGAAGGAGAATTGATGCTTTTGAGCTGTGGTGCTGGAGAAGAGCATTGAGGTTACCATGGACTGCTAAGAAAACAGATTCATCCTGGAGAGGATTAAACCGGGCTGCTCCTTGGAAGCAAGGATTCTGAGGCTTTGTCTGACATTCTTTGGACATGTTGTAAGGAGGGACCGTTCCTTGGATGGAGGGCCAGAGCAGGAGGGGAGGGGAAGACCCTCTATGAGGTGGATGATTCAGTGACTGGGGTAATTCGGAATGGGTGTATCGGAGACAGTGCGACTGGCACAGGACAGAGCAGGGTTTAGGGCTGTTGTACATAGTGTCGCTATGAGTCACAAGCAACTCGACGGCACATAATACAACAGGAAGTCAAATTTTAGAGTAGCTCTTGATCATGAAAGTTGCAAAGATAGTAGTGAGTTCTAGTGGGCTCTGCAGTCCAGTGAGCCCATGGTTAACACACCATGAAACATGGGTCCTAAGTAAGGAACTAGGTTACCAGGATGGTAACCAAACACACATGACTCAGACTGCCTCAGTTTCTGTCCCTAAATTCAAGGAGATATTAGCTTAGTTGGCATGTCTCCTTAGCGATCGTGTCTCAGATTCTCATTTTTGAGGAGCTTGAGAGTTTGAAATGTATTGTATGATACTCCTCTAAAGAAATTTTCTAATATTTTCCTTGTGGCGATTAGTTTTGGGAAGAAAGATTATGGAGGTAAGGTTCTAACAGTCTTTAGTTAAAAATTTTTTAAAAATGCACATTTATTAAAAATTAGATACAAAACAATCAACCACCAAAGGTCTTCTGTGTGCATGATGGAAACAGAAAGCACAAAGACAGGAGGAAGAGTAAGAAAACTTGACGAAATAATGATAATTTTCTAAAATTACCAACAGACTTCAAACCACAGACCTGGATGTTTATCACAGAGCAGTGAAGAATACCAAGTAGGATAAATACCAGAAAACAACATTTCAAAAATCTACAGCTATTGAGTCGAGCCCAGCTCTATCTGATGGTGGAAATGCCCCAGTAGTTCCCAAGGCTCTGCACCTCCATGGGAACAATCTGCCTAGATTTTGTCCTGTAGAGTATCTGGTGGACTCCAATTGCTAAACTGAGTTAGCAGCCCAATGTCTGTAACATTCAAACCACAGAAAATCCTCACATAGAAGATCCTCAATGTCCAAGAGGAAAAAAGCATGAAGTGTATACGCATACAAGGACAAAAATGATATAAATCTTCTCATCAGGAACAATACATGTTGAAAAACACACAGAATTTTGTATTTAGCAAAATTATCTTTCAAAAATGGAGGTAAAAAATAGTGAAAGAGAAAAAGGCTTTTCTCAAAAACACTGAGGGGACTTGTTACTAGTAAACGGCTCTGTAACAAATGCTAAAAGAAGTTCTTTAGAGTCAAGGGAATATTGGTCAGAAGAATCAGATGTACATAAACAAAGAAAAATATTAGCAAAAGAGTAAGATTCAATATTCATAACTGGTGAAATGTTACTGTTATTATTGTGTGGCACTGAGTCAAAATGACCCACAGCTGCCCGTCTGAGTCAAACTGACCCACAGCTGCCTGTCTCGGTTTTTAGAGGCAGTAAATCTCATGAGAGGAGACCACCATCTTTATCCCATTGAGCAGCTGGTGGATTTGAACTCTGTGTCTAGCAGTTAGCAGCATAGCTCCCTAACCCCAGTTTGTGCAAAATAATAACAGCACCAATGCACTGAGCAGGTATAGCTTATGTATAGGTGAAATGGGTGAACACAATGTTGTCAAGCATGGGAGGGAGAAACTGAGAACAGTCATAATGTCCATGTTGGATTGGTTGTGAATGTGTATTACAAACCCCAGAGCTGTAACAGGTTTGTTGTGGGTTGTTTTTTTTAAGATGGGTTTAATAATGTATACTGCACTGAAACAGAGAAGGGAGAAAACTGTTTAAAAGAGATATGTGATTAGGTATTTCTGTCATGACAGGAGTCTAGAGCGATGGCTACA